TTTGCTCGTTTCACTACTGAATGCTTTTTTCCAAAATGACCAAGAATCCTACAAAATTGCCATGGAAACACGAGACTTTCTCCTCCCCTGGCGCAGGAGACAGGGCAGCCTCTGCAGATGCAGTTCCATTCTCTGCCAGTCTCCTAGCACAAACGGCAGTAGCCCATAGCACACAAAGGAGGAATGCCTGTACTTCTCAAATGCGACCACGCCCACTTCAGGGGACGCTCTGTCCCGCTGGGGTCACTGGGCAAGCACTTATTTTCGGGTAGGCCCTACTACCTCTTGGGAATACCAGACAACCTCATCTCAGCCCTCATCCTTACCCCTGGCAAGGCCAGGGAATCACTTCAAACAAGCAAGCATCCAACACAGGGTTGCTAGGTCAGAGGGCACATCTTATACAAGCCAGTAAACACAGCCTGTCCTCTTGGCTATTCCAAATGACCCTTTAGGAACCCTTTGGGGCCAAAAGAGATCCATGCCACAGGGGCCTGGACTCTACAGACTTCCCAGCCTCTTCTCCAGTGACAGCACTGGCGCCAACACAATCAGTTTCATCTATCACGCCATACTCACCTGCTCTGGGAGCCCCCCAAACACAAGCCTCCCCATCTCCCTGACCAGCGCTCCACCCATGCCAGCTGTCCCTGTGCCAAGTGAAATGCCAGCTCTACTAGCAAACTTCCTGGGCCACCCCCCATTTACACGGTGCTTGGTTTGGATCCCAACTATTGTTTTTATTATGGCCTGTGACTTACAGGGCTATTCCACTTCCTCTCCTACCTGTGAGGGCCTGGAGGTCAGCAGCACTGTCCACTGTGTTTCTGTGTCCCGAACAGTATGCAGTATAAATACACCCCCGGGGCAATGTACAGAGAAGAAAACGTGGCGGGGCCAAGAAGCTTGCAAAAAGGAGGCCTAGGCTCCAGGAAACCCATCTGCTCCCTTTGAAGGCCTGCAATGAAAAAATTGTCCCAAGGAGACCCAGCTCCACTCCCACAGTGAGGAGCCTGGGGCCCCAGTCTAACTGTGGGACAGGAAGGACCCAGGAGAAGAGGGCACCCACGCAGGAGCCTGGCTGCAGGCCAGCAGGGTCTGCCTCCAGAAAGGTGTATCAAGCCAAAAATTGACCTTGGAACCCAGGCAGACAGGCTCCCAATCTAACTCCTCCCCTGTGGCTTTAGATAGGGTATTTTCTCTGAACCGCGATGCCTTCTATGCAGCCCTGGAAGACTGGCTCCACTGTTCTGAAGGGGGTGAAAGAACAACAGTCACACGGACCTCAGATGCGCCAGGCCAACACCTAACTCTTACACACTCTGCTCTAAATACTCTATCTACATGGTCCTTCCAACACGGTCCTTCTCTGCCGATGCCCCACGACGGAGGGCTCACTGGAACAGGCGTCAACTTGTGGAGGTGTTGAGGACATCTGTCCAAAGGCTTGCCTCAAAGAAGCCTCTGGTCCTCAGTTTCTACCTACCATCCGCCTCTCTAGGAACACCGTATGCCCTGCCTCTCCACAGGACTGAGCCACAGTCCGCACCCACGGACCACTGACAAACCATTGCTATTACAAGGACCTGAGGCCTCCTCTGATAGGAGACAGTGGGAAAAGCAGAAGAGGAACTTTGAACCCTGGAAATTGAGAGGGCTGTGAGGAAAAGCATCACTTAGCCAGTCTAGTCTCTAGATTTTTTTAAAGGTTATCATTTTTTAAAGGCTTCTTTACCATTATTATTATCCAGAAGCCGCACATCATGTGACCCACTGCACTCACCTCCCAGTCTTCCGATCCAACCCTTTCCCCATGACCTCCTCCCACACACACAAAAAGGAAAAACCAAAGTCCATTTTGTGTTGTCCATATATTCACTGGAGTGTGGTCAAATTCCTAGTGGCCATCTCCCTAATGGAGAGTGAGCCTTCCTCCACCTGCATCCACATCAGAAGCCGTCAACTGACGAAAGCCACGCACTGGCAGAGCAGGGAGTGGTTCACTCTCCCATACCCACACCACCGCCTGCATTGCAGTGCTGTGGGCCAGCAAGGGGCAGGCCCAGCTCTCCTGTGACCAGGGACATTAACTTGGCGTCCGGCAGCAGGCCTGACCACAGGTATCCTCTCGGGCTTTGGTTATGGTAGCACAGACATCAGCGCCACCCTTGACCACATCACTCCCGTCCCTCAGTGGCTGCATGAGCCTCAACATGGTCCCAGATGGCTACACATAACACTCACATCAGCATGGCTACCTGAGGCGGCAGTAAATACCAACGACATTACCAAGTCTTTGGGGCAGTGGCACAGACTGCATATATCCACACGGATGGATCTCAGGCTTCATCATGGGCCACAGACAACAACATGGCCTCTGGTGTCATCACAGGACCATGGTGGTCCTTCAAGGAGGTCAAATCCAGAACATGAACCTTTCCCCATCTGGGGGCCTCCAATGTTACCAGAGCCCGTGTGCGTGCGTGCGTGCGTGCGTGCGTGCGTGCGTGTGTAGGGGGAGCCCCCGAGGGGTTGGACAAGCAGTTCAGGGAGGGACTCAGTCTGTGTCTACACAAGCTCCAGGCTGTTGTACATTACCCTGCCAACCCTACTGGGCAATGACAGCATGTAGACCTCAGCCATCTCTCACCTTTCACCACCATCACGTCTCCAGTTCTGCCTCTTTCGCTGGGGCGCACACTGCTGTTTTTCTCTTTCACCTCTCCATTAAGTATTTGTTCATTGTGGTGGTGCCCACTTGGGTGGCTTCTGCTCACCCTGGACCACCTAGCCTATAGATCTTCACTGTCGAGGACAAAGTCCTTTGCTGAGCCCAAGAATCACGGGCTGAGTTAAGCCAAGAGTATCAGTCAAGATGACACTGTCCACAGTAGACCAGATAGCCAAGATTACAAATCTAAGATGCCCTCTGGAAGGGTGTGAATCCACAGGGAGTTATGGCCTTATGGTCCAAGCTCTTGGGCTTCTGGAGCTCAGGTCCCTGGCCCTACCTTCTCAAGTTTATTCCTCAGAATTCTCCAGACTTCCAGATCTAGCCCCCAGATGTCTCATCATGCCCACTTCCCTCGATACACCGTTCTCCCACTCAGGGCCTTGGGTATCTCTGCTGGCACCCTTACTTTCAGGCCTCACTCTCTCACACCCTTTGTAGCTGCCATTGGTGGGATTTTTCGGTTTGATACATTCTGTATACCTAGCCAGCTAACTGGCAGCTTCCTTGCTCATTGCTATGCTCAAGCTTAGCGTTCACTAAAGAAGCAGAGAACTGGAACAGCTCCTCAGGACTGTCACCAGCCAAGGACGACTGGACATTTACCTCTGACAAAAATCACTGGCATGTGCTCAAACACCAGGCATGCTTGGGCAGAAGCTGCAATAAGCTGCTGAGGGTCCACTGTCTATTACCACTCAGGACACAGAGACAGTGACTTGAATTTTAAGCATCCACACGGGAAAGTAGCACACTGCACCGCTGTTCTACTTAGCCACTTCCTTCCTAACACCCAAACTGTGCCACAGGGCTCTGCATACTCATGTGACCTGGAATGACGACAACTGTCTTCTCAGGGTTAGTGCCACGAGAACAGATGCCAAGCCCTCAGCAGCAGTTTCTGCACACACTGGGAATCTCCTTTAGCTTCTGAGAGAAAGTCAGTATCAACACTCCAGGACAGACAAGGACCAAAGACACTCAGAGCCCCCAGGTGGAGATCCCAGCTATCATGTGGTAACTGGGTCTAAGGTCAAATCCATGTCAAGCTTCTTCACCCAAAACCATGGGGAGCAGTGCTCCCTCTACGGGCGGAAAAGATGGAATGAAGTTAGCAGCCAACACACGCGCACGGCACGCAGCAAAGACTTCATCAGCTGAGACAGTGACGCCCAAGGGATGCAGGCTGTCTGGGAGATGGATGTGGGCTCCTGTGAGCCCTGCCAAAAGCCTGCAGTTTGAGGGACTTCACGATGAAGTTTCCCACAGATAACCTCTACTCTATCCCTTTTATTCCTAGTCTTAAGTTCTGAACCTCTTAACTGATTTACTGCTTTTTTTAAAATTTAAGATTTATTTTGCGTGCATGGGTGTTTTGCCTGCAAGCGCCTGTGTGCCATTTGCATTCGGTGCCCACTGAAGACAGAAGAGGGAACCCTGTTCTAGAGCTACAGATGGCTGTGGGCTGCCACAGGGGTGCTAGGAATTGAATCCGGCTCCTGTGGAAGAGCAGTCTCAGAGTCATGTCTCTGGCCTCACTGATTGCTCTTCAGAAAAAACGTTTTATAACTTTTACTTGGGAGGAGTTGAAGCAGGTGCTACCTGGGCTCTCGGGACAGGAGCCGTGACAGACTAATGGCCAGTACAGAGAAAGCCAGCTTTGCAGATGAGCCCTGGTTAGGAACGACAGCAGCACCCTGGGTCTCATGTACAGGTCTGTGTCCCTCGTCCTTCCCCTTCCTGCTGTAAGACAGCCTGATGCTGAGTCAACACAGGCAGCAGCCCAGGTGAAGAGCACTTCCCCGCCTCCAGCCAACAGCAGCCTTGTCACCTGTAATGACAGCAGAGCCTAAGCAGGGGCCATCCGAGAAGACTGAAGGACTGCTCATTCCATCAGCTCCAAGGAGGCCAAGGATGAGATCCTAGGAGCTATCACTTCAGGGAAAAGCCTACGTGTATCTAATGGACACCATCCCTGTGCCTTCTTCAAAAGAGCTGAGGGACAGTGGAGGAGGTAGAGGCCAGTGGGGAAGGGATGACAGGAAGCGATGCTGATGCCCAACGGCTCCCAAACACACGTGTCCTTCCTCAAAAGCTACTGCTATGTGGACAGAGGGGAGCACTAATTCTGTAGGCTGTCTGGAGCCCAGGAGCTGACTCACCCGGATCCCAAACTTCAGAGTGCTCCTGACACCATGGGGCACTGCAGCCTAACTGCTGCCAGCCTTGGGGTGAGCGGTGCTGGGCAGACGGAGGAGCAATGCACAAGTCAGATGAGTAAAGTCACGTTTATTACTCTGCTCTCTGTTTCCCACATAGTTCTGCAAGACAACCAAGTGTGGAAGACAATTTGCTCTCCCAAATGCTGCAGCGGTAAGGTAAGAACCCTCACTGACAGCCACACAGTGCTAATGAACCCAGGTTGGTCTGCAGGCACCGGAGACGACAGGGCAGGTCTCAGAGAGCAGCTCCTGCCCCCCCCCCCCCCCCCAGCAGAAGAATCATGGCTAAAGCATCCTACAACAATGTATCGAAGCCTCGGTGCTAGAGCATTAGACATGAGGCCGCGCTCTGGGAGATCTTCTTACTTCTTTCTCCTCTTTGTTGAATACAGCTTTTCTTCCAGGGGGACCGGGACGATGCCACCACACTCTTTTACTTCCTGGGTCAGAGGGTGTTTCACGACGTTTGGTCTAACCACATCAACGTCTCGAGTCAAGTGATCCAATATGCTGTCCACAGAACTTGTGGGGGCATAAAAATCCACCAAGAAATACCTGCAACAAGATAGCAATGGGTGAATTCCTGTCTCTGAAATGTAACACTCCTGCCACTTTGTCAGCCGGGACTGCTCTTCCCAGAGCAAGCTCACTACTCACACACTCACGTGCAGCTGCCGCAAGCGTGCAGTGGGCACACCCGGTCTCCTTCCAGATTGGCTTTCTCATTCCGTCCCTGTGGAAGCTATCCCAAACCACTTTTACTGCAGCAAAAAGGCATTGTGATGTCAGCCACAGCAGGGGATAATACAAAATAACTGTGAAATTAGGTACTTAGAATTTTCTGGCTTAGCAACAAAAATGGAATTCTAAATATCTGATTCGTTTTATGAAAAAATTAGGTTTTACCTGTGACTCAGTGGCCCCAAGAGGAACAGTACAGACCATTAGTCAGTCAGCCATGTCCCACAGCAAAGAAAAAGACCTACCTGGAACCACTCTGTAGGAAGAAGAACTGACGAGGAACACAATGTAAACGGTGTGGCCCTTCAGTAAGACAATGAATAAAACATGGATTATTCATGTCTGACTGATGCTAAATGGCATTATAGACAACTATGATCCAAAACTTTATTAATACCCTGCTGGACAATGATGCACAGGACTGTCCCTTGCCCACCCCTGCTGTCCACACTCAAAAGCAGCCAGGTGTAGTGGCGCACACCTGTAATACCAGCACTCAAGATGCAAGCACAGACAGAGTGGTCACTTCAGGTGCAAAGCCAGCTGCCCTGTATAGTGAATTCAGGCCAGCTAGGAGCTCAAAAGCTCCAAGAGGGCAGGGGCAGGGTTTAGGCCACCTCTGCACTGTTTGATTTGCATGACATGACTAGAGTCCTCGGAAGCGGGTGAGACATCTTTCTCTACAGCCATGCCCTCGCAGAAGCTGGTGAGGTGATCTTTCTCTACAGCCATGCCCTCGCGGAAGCCTCGAAGCACAGTCTCATCTGAGGTCCAGGCCTCGGTGTTCCTCTTGCCCAGATCCCACGGCGCTGGGCCCATTTCTCAGATCTGTCCCAATGTCTTCTTGGAGCAGTCTTACTCTGTGCCCATGCCTTGCGCTGTCTCCCTCCCTCCCCTGCTCTTGGCTCGCCTCCTTTGATCAAGTGTTGTTTCACTGCTAGCATGTCCATCTGTCCAGACTGTCCATCTCACTCCTTGGAAACAGTAACCGGGCAGGAAGTGTCCCCCCTGTCAGGCCGCCCTTGCCCTGCAGTGCAGGAAGGTGCTATGGGGGCTGTTACGCAGGTTACACAGGCTTATGTGCCTGTAAACAAACCCTCAGCCATGCTCCCGTGAGCAACCTAATGAACTCACTGGGTCACCAACCAACGAACAACAGGAAAAGACATGGACACTGAAAGGGACTAAGAGTCAAGCAAGGGAGGAAGGAGAAGAAGAAGAAAGGGCAAAGACAGATAACTGTGATCAAAATGCATTATGTGCACATATGAAAATGCCACAATGAAACCCATTATTAGGTATAACTAATACATGCTAATAATAAAGGCTATTCTTTGGGGAACCTTTCTGTTATTTAGACTGACAATGGGTAAGAATTTTTCAATTATTTAGATGTCCATTCTCTCCAATCTTACAATTCCAACAACAGTTCAATCAAAATACCAACAAATTCTCAAGTTCATATAGAAATACACAGAACAAACAGCTTTGATAAATAATAAAGTGAACAGAATCATCACCTGTCTCAAAACTTAAGAAGCAATGGTGATGCAGACAGCAAGAGCAGACAGACCCACACAGACAGGCAGGACAAAGACAGTGCAGGTGAGGACAGTCCCCCCAACAAGCAGTGGAAAGTGCTCTTGGAAAAGGACACTTTGTTCCACACTTGTGTGCCTCACAGGAAAATTAGCTCAAAAGTGGAACAGATTGAAACCAATCTATTAAATTTCTAGAAAAAAGTTTAAAAAGCCTTGGTAACCTTGGAATTATGCCAAGATTCATCAGATAACACAAAAAGTACAATTCATAATTTAAAAGAAAACACAATAAAATAGACCATCAAAATTAAAAACAATTCTCCAAGTAAAAAGACAAGCTGCAGACAGGATTTGCTACTTACAACTCGGAAAATATACCTGAATCTAACATGCATGAACTCTCAAGTTTTTAATTTAAATATAAACAAAATAATTTTAAACAAAAACAAAATAAGCCTCGATGTTAAAACAACTGTAAATAAACAGACCAAAGGGAGACATGATAAGGTACAAGAAAGGACGCCGTGGTGTGAGCAGGAGAGGCCCATAGACTCATGTTTGAATACTTGACCCACAGGGAGTGGCACAGTTAGGAGGCGTGGCCTTGCTGGGGTGGGCGTGTCACTGTGGAGGTGGGTTTGAGGTCTCCTATGCTCAGGCTACTGCCACACGCAGTCTCCTGCTGCTGCCTGCAGGTCAAGGTGTAGACTCTCAGCTCCGTCTCCAGCACCACGTCTGCCTGCGTGCCACCATGTCCCTCCATGATGATAATGGCCCGAGCCTCTAAACTGTAAGCCAGCCCCAATTAAATGTTTTCCTTTGTAAGGGTTGCCGTGGTCACGGTGTCTCCTCACAGCAACAGAAACCCAAGACAGATGCTTAAAAATCACCAATAAGATACAAATTAGAACCAAAGAAAAATGACTATATTAGTTACTTTTGTGTTGCTGAATAAAACACCATGACTAAGGCACCTTACGGAAGGATTGGCTTAAATGTCAATAATGGCAGGAAATGCACAGTGGCTGGAATAGGAAGCTAAGAGAGCGTATCTCAACTGCACACAGGAAGGCAGAGTGAGCTGGAAATGAGGTGTAGCTATAAACCCGCAAAGCCCACCCACAGCCACACAGCCAAGCGCTTCCTCCAGCAATGCTGCACGTCCTAAAGGTGCCACACCTCTCCAAGCAGCAGCACCAACAGAAACTCAGTTTTCAAGTACAGGAGCCTATAGAGGACATTTCTCGTTCAAACCACCACACCACTACAATGGCTTCTTGGGGCAGTAAGAAGCCTTGTCTATTTACTCATTGAATTGATAATTACTATAATGATGACTATGGGAACCACACACCAACCTCCCCAAACTTCCCAAGGTTTAATTACATTCATTTCTCCCCCAACACTCTCTCTCTCTCTCTCTCTCTCTCTCTCTCTCTCTCCTCTCTCCTCCTCCCTCTGTCCGGCTCCCAAAGAGTTGCAACCGCCCAATTTATGAACTGCTCGTTTGTCCAGCACTAACTCCCGACTACTCACTCACCTTAGCAGCTTCAGCGAGGCAGAAGCGGAGCCTAAAGCGCTAAGTGGGGTTATCTCAAACCACCTCCTCCACGCCAACTGCGTTTTGGCTACTTTGCGGCAGGTAGAATGCTTTACTCCAACACAGCCCCCAGCATTTCTCTCTTCCAACTGTGCATGATTCTTCCGCTGAGTGTTAATCAAAGTGTTCTTCAAACTACCATTAGGAGCTATGGCTGCCACCTGCTAACAGGGAAACCTGAGTTGACAGTGGGAGTCCTTGAACACACCCATTCTCTCTGAGGAGGCACCTTCTTTGACTGTGCTCTGTGTCCCTGCAGAGCCCAGTACTGGCAGAGGACACAGACGGATGCTCACCCCCTGCGCCTGGTTTTTCGGGGCCTATAATGAATGCATCAGCACCACGGACAGCCTGTGATGCCCCCCAAGGCTTCCCTCCCTAAGTTCTAGGAAAGCTAATTTATTTAAATATTAGTTCTGAGACACCAAGGTTTTCCCTACAGTCCAGTCAACCACCTCACACACTTCTTAAGCACATCTTAAGAAGGCAGAAAAGTCTGAACTGTCTAGGAGAAAGTGCGTTTACAGGTGCCAACAGTCAACTCAACCCTCTTCCAGCCAATACCAAACCACCAATCATGCATACCACCAGAGCCTTGAAATACCACTTTGTGATAAAAGGAGCAAAAGGGATCTCAAGGATAGAAGCACAGAGCTGGGTGACCCAGACACCTCCTGGGTCAGGCCTTGAAAAGGAGGGTCCTAGGCCTCTCAATTTCCAAAGCACTGCCACAGCCCTACAATGTCTTCTGAGAAAAAGGATGGAGGGCCATAGAAACCTCATGTGTGTCAAGTGAGGACAGGGAAGGAGAGGCCGTGAAGCTGAGTGGGGGTCTGGGTCCAGTTTTCTAGAGTATGGTTTCCTGTACCTCACCTCTCTGCAACTTCACAAGCTAACACCACGAAGAACAGACAAAGAAAGCTTCTATCACTACCCTCAGGTCACCCTGCTGCCGTGTGGCCACAGTGACAACTCAAACAGATGAGGTCTTCTGTAAGTGACAGACAGGAAAATAGAACCCAACCCCTTCATTTGGGGAAATGACAACCAGAAAGGGAACTAACTGGTCTACTCCAGGAACCTGGAAGCCAGAGGTTCAGCTGCAGTTCCCGGATAGACTTCATCTCTCACAATGGATTACTGGCACTCTGGAAGGTTCTCGGGGACAAAGCAAAGGCTTTGGGTCTTCAGAATGTGCTATGCCTTGGCTTTTGGGGTCCCTATTGCTACCAAACCCTGTGACCTTTACCCTTTAATTCACCTCTCCTGGTTTCCAGTCCTTTGGCAACCAAAGGCAAACAAGAGCTCTGGCCAAACTGCAAGTAGGTCTGTGCCCACAACCACAGCGTGTGACTGTCATTTCAAGCTTATCACTCTATGGATCTCTGCCTGGGGCTGATGTGGGCAAAGACTGCTGCCACTCCCCTGGCTCCCCATTACACCATGGAAATTTCCACGAAAAGGAAACACCAAACAGAGGAGGGGCAAGTAGCTCAGAGAGGGGCAGATAATACTGTATTCACCACTCCTCCTCCTCCTCCCCCCCTCCCCCTCCTCCTCCTCCTCCTCCTCCTCCTCCTCCTCCTCTTACCCCACCACCACCACCAAGCTACCCTGAACCTAAGCTCCCAACCCATACTCAACCCAAACCCCTGTGCCTGAGTGGCCCAGTC